GAAACTGGTTATACTGCACGACTTCTTTTGGCTTGGGTGAAGCTGCGTAAGGTGAACAGGCGCCGTATAGCGATCCCAGAAGAACCTCAGTAGCTGTGTAAGATCATGAAACAGCCTCAATAGCTGCTTAAATCTCCCATTCCACTTCCTTCTTTCTTTTGAAAAACTTCAACTACTTGATCGATTCTTAAAAAGTTAGGTGACGCCTAACGTTAACTAGATCTTTTCTCTTTCAGTACATTATTTTTGTGAGAAGTCCACATCTCCAGCGTTGTGTCGCATCATCTCAATGGTTTACAGGTCTGATAGTTAGACAAACCAGCACATGCTGCGAGCCAATAACTTGAATAATGCACCGTATAGACCGTTAAAGCTCAAGGGGTGGAAGTGTTGTAGTGGCAAGTGGCACGCTACCACGCGAGCGGTCCGGGGATCAAATCCTGCCCGGGCCAACCAAGCCTTCCATCCCTCCGGGGTCGGTTAATTGGTACCAGACTTGTCTGGGAGGATAAAAACACTGACTTGTACATCGGCTGGCCCCCGCAAGTCATTGTGCCACTACGAATGTACAAATGGAAGTAGAATGCGTGTCCGCATCCCAAAAAGGGATTCATCAATGGCAAACGTTTCATGCTTCAAAGACCGTCAAAGCAACGCTTTCATTATTTTTGAAAACTACATGATGTTATGCATCATCACGAAACCTTTGGACTGACATTTTTTTTTACTATTCTACAGTGACAATAGCGCTTTCATTTCTCTTCACATCAGTTTCTCCTATCCCGCAAGACTCGCTGAGTACCTTAGGTTGGTCCATAAGTCTTGCAACAAATTACATTTAATGCTAGAGAATTTTTGTGAGAACTCCGAAAATTCCGCAACATGTTTGTTTGTAGCATCCACCTTTGCAATTTCAGCCAACCATCCAGCTCGTTGTCTCGCTACTTGTTATGGATATTACACCGATTTCGCGAAAAGCTCTTCGTGCCCTTAATTTTTACGAGTACTGCTTGGAATGTTCCGCAAGTCATGCTACACCAAGGACCAGAAGATGGGCGAGGGCACGCTCTCTCAATTCACGGTGCACCGGCGCTTCACTCTGCTCAGCGTTGACTTTTTTATTTGAAGATGATCCACACTCCAACCACCCCGTGACTGACAATCACGATGCTCTATCTGACGCTGTTGAAAAGGGATCTGGATAGACTATCGATCATTTGCTAGAGCAATTCCGATGCGACAAGGAGACAGCACTGTGGCATCTCCAAAGACTTGTGAAGATCCGAAAATGTAGAGTTTGGATCCCCACATGCCTTGAGCCCGAATTCAGCTCCAAACACGATCTGACATCGTCATGTTCAAGTCGACTTACTATGGATTCTTCGATTGACCATCCATCACATTTGCCGAAGATG